CAAAACAATAAATATAAATCCCAAACCGTTATCACAAAGAATTATAAGTTTCAAATAATAACAAGTTAACACTTAACAGTTATCACAACTTACAACTTAACTTATCCCACACAGTAAATAGAAATCCCAATGAGCAGCAAAAAATAAGTTTAGAAATCCACTAATCTAAGCTAATCACTAATACACATGAAGTGGAAGACTACCAAACAGAGCAAAAATATAAATCAAGTAAAATGAAAATAAATTCTTAGTTAATTCAAATATTGAATTAAACAAAAAAAATTAAATTCTCAAACAAGTAAACAGATAAAATCAACACAGATAAAATTGATATAAATAGCCAATTTAGAAATCAAACTAAAAATCGAGAATAAAAAACCAAAAGAGCGACTTTTTGTTCACCTTAAATTCTTAATCACCTCGATGAAGGCGGCCAGGTGGGGAAATTGCGGCCCAGCGGAAGGCCGAAGGCGCCGATGGTGATGATGTTAGGTCCGGTTGTGGACTTGTGGGAAAAGGCGAGCCGGGCGAGGTAGACGTAACAAATTAACAATTTTGCTGATCAATTTTTCGCAAAAATAAAAGATTCAAAAATAGAAAAAAATATTTTGGTGGATATAACAAAATAAATTGATCAATTTCTTAATTGATCAATTTTTCCCAAAGTAAATAAAATATTCAAAATATCTAGATCTCTAAAATTATTGAAAGTAACAAATTAACAATTTTGCTGATGACTGATGATTGATTTGAAGTAATTGAAGATGAATACAAAAAACAAAGATTGAAAAGGCTATTTATAATATATAAAATTGATGACCTTACCGTTGGAATTTTGGGATGAGAGTCGAGATAAAATGCTGAAGTGACTGATGACTGAAGTTGGTCGTTGGGAAGACCGAAGATGATAAGTCGAAGATGAAAGAACGGCCTTCTTGTTCGTAGTCTTCATTAATTTGGGGCTTTTATTTACATTCTTTTTTAATTCCTGAGATGTTGGCATTTGGAATTGGCAGGAAGGACTAAGGCGATGACTTCAGGTAAGTGTAGTTTCTGTAGTGAATATGGGCTTTTATTTACATTTAGTTTGGCCCAAGCAATGATGCATATGTGGTGCCCCTTTATTTATTTAGGCCTTAGGTCGGCTCTGCCAAATAATAGAGTTTTTAAAAAGTAAAAAAAGATAATCGAACTAAATTATATATTTTTCAACAGAAAATGTTAGGGCATGCTTGTTTATGAAATAATTCATTTCATACTCAAAATCTAATTATATTATTTATATTATTTATATAATTAAATATTATAAACTAATCATTCTTACATATCACATCAACTTTAATTTACTATTCATCCACTTACATAATTTTAACTACCAATCATTTCCAATCATTTATATTCTACTTTTACATCAAATCATTAATAATCATTTTGTTTTAAATATTATTTTAATATATTATTAAAATCCCACTAACAATTAATCATACTACCTTTTTCAAAATTAACTCTAGTTAACTAAAATAACTTATTTTGAATGAAATATTTCATAAACAAGCACGCCCTTAGTTTGGTCAGTCTCATTCGATATGGTGCAATCTCATAGTCATTAATGTGCAGTTCGTTCAACACAATTATGCATATTAGGGTTTTTTAAAGAGTTGTCATAAATAAAAAAAAAATGATATGAAATAATCATTTAATTCGATTAGTTGAAATTAAATAATACTTTTAAATAAAAATATATAAATAAAAATAATATTATGTTGCATTCGGGAAGGATGAATTGATCCTGAAAAGGAATCTTTTGATTCTCTTCCAATTAGTTGGAGCGTTTTTATATAATTCGGTTGTTTGGTTATTTTGGTTTTTAAAGACAAAAAAAAGGCCGACATCGAACAAAAAATAATCAAAATTTTGAAAGTAAAAAAAAAATATATATATATATATATATATTTGAACCGAAATATAAAAATTTTAGTTTGGTTGGTTTCGTTCGATATTGTGCAATCTGATAGTCCCTATTGTGCAACTCGTATGACACAAATGTGCACCCACAATGCAGTAATTTTTAATGGGTTTTCATAGAGCAAACTAGAATCGAAACGAAATAATTAGTTTATTCGTTCGGTTGACTGATTATTTCAGTTAACCGAAATAAATGAAATAATTTATTATTCATATTTGATATATTACATTATATTATTATTTATATTATTTTGATATTTCATATTATTTTTATTTAATATTTCTGTTTTTATTTTAATATTTTTTATTATTTATTACCTTATTAAACTTTTTGTAAATTATAGATTTGACACATGTATGCAATTGAAATTAATTAAATTTCTTGAAATTGCACATAAGTCCTTGTAAGTTATCAAATTTTCAAAAATTAATCCCTATATCAAAAAATTCAATTACAAACTTGCAAGCCTTTGTATATGTTCAGACACCTCCGTCAGGTCACCACTTCCGGCAGCGTGGCGGCACATGGTGGACGTGCGGTTGCGGACAACGATCGGGCGCGTTGCCGGCGGGAGTCGGGGCGACGGCGAGATGAACGGCGGCGTAGTGGAGCTCACCACTTCCGACAGCGGGGCAACATACGGTGGACGTGCGGTTGCGGACAATGATCGGGCGCATTGCCGGCGGAATTCTGGGCGACGGCGAGATGAACGGCGGCTTACTGGAGCTCACCACTTCCTGCAGCGGGCAGAATACGGCGGACGTCGGTCAGAGTGGTGCAAACGGGATTCTGGGCGACGGCGCCGTCGTGGAGGTCCGTCTGTGACAATGTGCCGGCGGATGTTTGTGTGAATGTGTGTGTGACGGAGTGTGTGCGATGGAGGGGGTGTGTTGTGTGTGTGAGATGTGTGTGTGTGAGAGAGAATGAAGTAATGAGTCACTAATGAGTCAATGAGAGAGAGAGAGAGATTTAATGAGAGAGACAAAGGGTGGGTGTTACGTGGCAGTTGGGGTGTGGTGTGAGTGGATCCCACTCTTTTTTAGTGTTGTCAATTACCATATTTCTCTTAATGAAGGTATAATTTTGGCTTTTTTTTAGCCATTAGATAATCCGATTTAATGGCTACAATTTATTCTCATTTCTTTCACTAAGCATCATTCTCTTGTGAACCCAACCCTATATATATATATATATATTTGGTGAGACTGTTCTGTGTCTAATCATGTAGGTTCATTGCATTAGGCATCATATTATCTAGAAGTTCATCACAAGGCTGTCGAATAAATTGATGTATGAATGTGTCAAAGTCGTTTGTTGAAGTATTCTGGACCAAATTTTCAAAGTAATTACGGCATAATGACCATATAATTTTACTTGTAAGAGTTGCACTCATGAAAATAAATAGCGGGCAGCTATCACATGAGGTGTTTCTCTTTTGATCACCTGTGAAACGAGTTACGTACTTAACAATAATTGAGGTGTGATAGCTACTTGTAGTCATTACTCAAGTGATTGAAGTTCATTGGTGAATAAGGTTGGCAGTTTTTATTCTATCTCAGCATATGTAAAAAAGAAATAACTTTTTGCGGGATGTCCACATTACAAGTAATGAGCTTGACATCAGCGTATAGTCGTTAGTAAGTGAAAAAGTGTGGAAGTTCATAGAACAGGGTAAACACATCATGAGTATCGGGGCTGATTTTCGAACGAAAATTTTGATTATTGCTAAAAGAAATTGGTGTGCAAACTCATTTTAATTTTTGTGTTATATAAAAGTTGGAGATGTAAGGTGTTAGTTTTCTTTGTGGGTGTACGATCATCATTTCATTTGTTAGTGTATATATTAGGCATATATAGCATATGATATTTTATATGATAAAATCGTTCTATTTTGTACAATATTAGTTTTGGTGATGATCATGCCAATTGTCCTGTCTGAAGGTTTTTCTTTATATATGGTACTAATTGTCATTTGTTGGTAAGTAAAAGAGTTTTTGGTGATGATCATGGCAATATTATTTTTGGTGATGATCATGCCAATTGTACAACCTCGTGTATCTACTAGTGAGATTAAATGTAACAAAAAGAATTTCGTTTATTGTATATGTGGGTAGAATGATTTGGTGCATTTCAGTTGATATAATGTTCATAATTTCATATTCATAGCTTTCAAACTAACAATCATATACGTACCATTACTTTTATTCTTAGTAGTAATAAGATATACGTTATAACAACCTTCTTAATGTTAGGATCGCACAAGCCTTCATTCTCACATATTCATTTGGCACGGAGCTTAGACTAGTCAAAAAGATGATAACATAATTATTATTACTTTCAAACCTCAAACTTTTTAGGTTGAAAAAAACATTTTAATTAATTTAATATTTTTTTGGTAGTTTGAAACTCTTTAGAATGAAACCATACATCATTGCACAAAA